GTATATATATATATATATACATATATATATATGCATGCACACATGCGTATATATATATATATATATACATATATATAAATATACCCATTCGTCATTAACACACTGTTGGATCTCCTCCCTTCACTCATTTAACTTCCCCATATTGCTGTTCAACTCTTACTTTATCAGCAACTGTCGTTTATCTCTTATCATCACTCCTTCTACTCCTCCTCTTTTATCACCAGCTTCCATTCTTATCACTCACATCTTTCTCCACATACACGTAGAAATGATATATGTATGTATGAGAGAAAGAATATCGCGGTACCGTAAATATGCTCGTCAGGAGTCGTTGTGTCCCAGAGTAGTGAGTTGTTTGTGGATGCCCGTACCACTTGTTAGGCCTTACTATCCGGCAGCATTTTCGAATGATAATCGCCAGAGAGAAATGGAATAATAAGATAAGCAGAGCGGAATACGTGATATCCATTTCCATTCTGTTTTGATAATGATTGTAACTGTCAGTTTTACCTGTATTTTCAAATGTTAATGTGGCTGCGATTAGCCTTGACACGTTCTTTAAATTTAAAAGTTTATCGATGACGACTATTTATTTTTATGCTCATATTCCATCATTTTTCTCATCTCTGATTTAGATTGGGAGTTTCGATTTCGAATTGGTGTAATCTTTTTGTTGATTTTTTCTTGGAGCACGGGGCAATGCAGAAGTTCAGTTTTAATACCGTTTGCGCTTCATCATCAAACAATTTGCAGATTTTGTACAAACGATCTTGTGCTGTTGCTCGTTGAGAAAAAAATGATTCTGTTAGTTGCGCTTTCACAGTCTAGCTATTCATCATCGTCAGATGGACAGGAACTTGATGATTGGTCTTGTGATCTGGTGAATGGCGTGTCATCGACTTCAGGATCCTTGTTGAATAGCAATACCTTTGGCTTAGTCCCTTCATCCGATAACCACGCTTCTTTCATATACCATCGACAGCCGTCTATCAAACTGGAGCAATCATGGTTTGTCTTTTTCGATTCTTTCTTTGCAGGAAAGAAACATTGTTTTTGGAGGGGTTGCTGGAAAGAGAATGAAATTTTCAGATCAAGGAATTCTAACTGTTTAGTTATGCTTTTTTTATTTGCAGTGTAGATGATATTGTATTGGAAATGGACTCGGAAAATGATGGCTACTCCAACAACTCGTCCATCTATTCTGATGGGTCCGCCAGTTTTAATGCAAGGTTTTTTTTTTTTTTGTTTTTATTGGGTTATTTCAATTTTACTGATTACAAGTTCTTCCAAATTCATGAATTTGGGTGACTCAGTTACAAATTTTCCTGTTTATACTGCTTTCTTGTCACCGCGCATTAAATCCCACGCAGTTGGCTGTTTTTCTTTTTCAGCTCAGTTTTGCCGCTGATGAACGAGTCGGTTAATTTGAAGGAACATCGGCGAGCGATTCTCGACCTTTCGATCTCTAAAATTCAGACGATGAACGCGTCGAATGTTGCAGTATCGCTGCGCAAGTCACTTCTTATCTACAATATGATGAAATCTCTACAGGTTCACCTTACTATGCGACTAATTTTAGACAAGAAATTATTGTTTACAATTATCCGACTAGACATGGTCTTGCGTTTCATCCCCTTTAATATTCTATTTTTGAATATTTGCTTTAAGTCCGTTTGAGAAAGTCTCAACATTATGAGCTCAAGCTGAAATGAAGAGGCGAAACTCGTCACTAATAGTTTGTTACTTATAGCGAGATCTTGATGCATGTGATGTTTTTGTGTGCGGCAGTCTGACAGAGAGAGAAAACGAAGTAATCGATAATGATGTGGAAATGTTGGAGACGAATGAATTTGAAAAGAGGAACTGGGAACAGTCGATATCGGATTTGAATTGTAATATCAACAGCGATAACAATCCGTGCAATCATCGCTTGGGTTATGATTGGCCATGGGGTACCCTGGTTAACACAAGTAAAGATACAGTGCAGGTAAAGTATGTTCAGTATGGTTTATCGTTCTCGAATTCTGTTTGTTGCTATTGTCAAGTGGATTCTATGACTATTGTCGAGGAATGTTGTTATAATTAGCCTATAATGGAAAATAAGTTGATCTAGCGAGTTCTTTTCAAAAAAAATCTCTTTTTCTTCTATAATTTTTTAACAGGTTTTTTTTTCTCATATACCAAGGAGATTTTTATGACCGATTATATATTGTTTGTTGTTGGTAAAGGTAACTGATAAGCATTAGGAGTGTGAACGTTTTCAATAATTTTGAAAATTCGACACAGAGGTGGCTGATATTATGGTCGCTTACTCAAGATTTATGGTAATTTCCTCCCTCTCCTCTTTGTATTTAAACACTGTCACTAGGTGGTGATTTTTTTTTTTGAAATTTGATCAAATTCCTCTCCATAGAAAATTTGGTGAAGTTTGTAAGATGTGATATGGAAGTTAAAAAAACAAGGAGAGGAAAAACAAAGGAATGGAGAGGGAAGTACTATAACAAAGCATGGAATGAATGTAACTTCTAACCCATAATTGATGCGTTTAATCTCCCAAAGATTAACATTTATTAACCCAATGGATCATCGTTGTTTGTCCCTTTCCCATGATGTAACTAGAAACCCTTCGCGATACCTCTGAATTAAAAAAATATTCCTAAAACTCTAAAATCAGTATTTATTAGTTAGGAAGCAACTGAAAGACACTGAAAATCTTCTGGTTTTTTATTTCTAAAGGTTCTAAAATGTCGAAAACATTCAGGATCTTCTATTACTGGGTGAGTTGGTACATTATTAGAAATGGATAAATTTCAGGGTTCGGAAAAGTGTGATAGTGATAACGTGTTTACTTTGACTAGCAGCAATGAATTGTTTAATGCGGGGAACACCTGGAGCAATTTGGATTCGACAGATTCGTCTGGATTCGTCGACGATTATTTGGAAATGTTGTGTGCTTGGGAAGATGAGAATTACAACCCGCTTACCAACTGCAATCTCACGCACGCGGAAATAATGAATATGTTTCACTTGTCTTCCCATCGTATGAACAATCAGTTAGTCTCTCAGGCCTGAATTATTCATGTTGGTTCCATTTATATGATTTTTGGGAAATCGTTATGTTGATCTTTCTCATTTCTAAAGCTCCCAGAGTTTGTTGTGTTTGATACCAATTTTCAGCTTAGGAGCTCATTCCATTTTCTTTCGGAGTAAACACCGCCCAGTATACACTTTTTTAATAGCCTTTATTATAAGCGTTCGTCATTACTCTATTCCCCGCTTATTACAGCCCCACTGTTATAACTGATTTACAGGTTGTTAAGATCTCTTTCGAATAATCAGGATTAGGTGAATTAATGGGTGTAGTGTATGGATGAAATAAGTTTAATGAATGGATTTCCATTGAAAAAAAAAAGTTTTTTCTCTTAAAAAAAATTTTATTTTGCATCCAGTTTTTAAGTACGCATGCTGCGGTAAGAGCAGTAGAAGCCATTGCGTTTTGACTTGTATTTTTGCTGTGCTTAAAGTCAGTTTTATCTTATTCTCCTCCCATATTATAAACTTTTTGGGAGATTCCTGTTGTGAATTTCAATGAATATTTATTTTTTATTTCTTGTTAGTTTGGAAGTCAAGTTTTGATATACTTGCGTTTCGTATCCTTCCTCTTCTTTGTTTTACAATCCTCACTTAGTAGATATCCCTTGTAGCTTTGCGCTCTTTTTTTTCTTTGCACTTGTTCATTCATTAGGTCTGCAGGAAAGTCTTTATGGTAAAAAGACGAAATCAAACGGCTAACTGACTGGTTATGCTGCTATCACCGAGGATATTTTCCTTCTCACTTCTTCAATGATCACGCTAATTTTTTTGGGTGAAGTTTTTATACGTGAATTGAGCATCATAGCATCATACTGCAGGCTTATATCAGTTTTTCTTTTCAGCATCATTTTTCTATTCCTTCATCGCACTACATTTATTCAAATCGTTTTATCTCCTTCATTCTTATAATTTAGGATTTTGGTTATAATTTCTGTTCTTTCCTTTCATTTTCATTACTTTCTTTTGTTGAGAATATAGAAGTTATAGGAGAACGGTCTCAAAACACTTATCCATATTTTTGGATCTCGTTAATTCGAAAAAATGCATTTGTTTAGTTCAGAGGATCCTAATTACTGAATGTATTTTTATTATTATGGTATTTTGCTTAGTACCCTTTGATGAATAATAGTGTGATATGAGCATTTGCTTCACTTGGTGTTTCACTACTGCACTCTTTTACGTTCCAGTGCAGTGAAGTTCCTTTTATGTAACCACATCAAAGGCTGAGGGATACAGTAGATTAGCAGCTGTGGTAATTATTTAAATTATATCACTATTCAAATATTGTAGACTTGAAGTTTTTTGGTTTGTCGTTCGAACAAAAAATTGGGAAAGTTAGTTTTTATTGGGACGATGCCTCATTAGTTGTGCATGTTATGAATGCATGAATCGGTCTTTTGCTTTAAGTGTTTTGTTTGGTTTTTTGTTTTAAAGTTAAACGCGCGTTATAAATTGTTAGTCTTTCTCTACCTGAACCTCTTTCGCAGCTTGTAATTCCTTGCGAAAACACATTTTTCCTCATGCCAGTGGCTAGACTAAACATTTTCCTTTTCATGTGAGCATTTGACAGCAGTATAGGATAAGGTTAGGTTTAAGTGTTCTCATATTCTGTAGTTACCGTATGTTTGATTTGAGGTAAACTTTATCTTGTCTTTCGGAATTCTCACTTCTCTGAATTCTAATAATCGGTTGTTTGTAACAATAAAACAAGTTATGTTATGGTGTAGCTTTATTATACATTCATTTTCCACCAATTTATTTTCATCATTTTTATTGTTCGATTGATTCAAAGTTTACATTGTTCCATGTGTTATGCTGTTTTGTGGAGTTGGCGTTAGCACAATTTTTACGTGCTATCGGAATTAGTATCTGTGAATTAAATGGAAACTTTTGCTTGTTTGCCTGTTCATCCTCGGTTCATTTAGGGGCTAACTATCAAGGAAAGGCTCACTGGTTTGTGGTTTCTCCCAACTTTTTTACAATTCTTTGTTAGATGGCAAACATGTGCAATAAATACCTTACTGAACAATCATTGTGATATTATATTTGTTTTGAGTTGTCTAATGTTAAAATGTTTTGATGTACGTGTAAGTCTGCTCCACCAATAATTCATTTGATTCCGACAGTTGTTTGCTGTTAAATATTTTCCAGTTTTTACGTTCATCAATTTTTTTTCGTTCATTTGTTTGGTTAATATTTTAGGATCCAACTTCGAAAAAAATTATCTTCTGTATTATTGCTGTGTAATGTAAGTTCTTAGAATGTTTACACCTTTTGAGTTCAAGCCTTGGTCCAAAAGAGCTAAAAGTGTTTGTATCCATTTTTACTTGTTTTGCTAGATGTGAGTGTATTGATATTTCGTTCTCTGCCTAGCTTCCTTATTTTTTGACTGATCATTAATTTTTAGCGGCTTTGAGGTTATTTTTTTTACACACTTATTTCTGAATTTCAACAAAAACTGTAAATTCATTTGGTTCAAATTTTTACTCATGGTAGGAGAGATAATCGAAAGGTGAAGGAGTTTGTCGTCCACTGCTGATTAGTTTCAGCACTGTATAAGCCTGTATCATCTGCGTATAATTGTAAAATTTAAAAGTAAAGTTGTAATAGAATGGGGAAAATTGTTCATGGTCTTCTTATTACTGTTATTATTCCTAAATGAAACTTTATTTTTTTCAAACTTTTTGCTTTAATTTAGACGCTTGTCATTTGGCTATCAAATGACCTCTTTGTCTCAATATTGTTTCGTCATTTATATTGTATTTAATATAATTCTAAGTTCTTTCGTTTTGCTAATGTTGGCACACCATTTTGCAATTTTCTTTCAATGAGTGACAAGATGTCCTTATGTATTTGTGTATCATACATTTATATATTTGTAATAACTACTGCTAGGCAATATTATTAGACATAAAATTTACAAATAGTTTTTTGTCGTATTGTACATTTAACTTTGAAGTCCACGTTTTTACGTTGTTTCCCAGAAATTCAAATTTTTATTTTAACCTCTTGTCAATTCCAGTTGAGAAGATCTATTGTTTTGGACTTTATTAGATAATGTTTATTGTTTTTGTGTTTATGTACACTTTTCTTTGTAATTTCACTTTTTAAATGGAAGTAAAATGCTGCAGTTTTGAAGTAGTGGGTTTCCTTTGCATATAACACATCACAGTATGAAAATCTTGTCAATACTTCTCAGGTTATGAAATATCATTTGTAGAGTGGGGAGCGAGAGAGAGTTATGTGTTCTGTGACGAATTTAATTTTTGGGGGTTGATAAGTTTTAACGGCAGATTGGTAGACATCAGTTGTGATGGTGGGTTTATTAACTTTCTTATCATCGATTTTGTGATGAGGTGTAAAACATTGCGATACAATGAAGTGGTCTCGTGGCATCTCCCTTGCTCGTACAGTTGATATGTTTCAGATGAAAGAGGGCTCCCTGATTCCCACTTTTCCAGCGAATGTAGCTTTATTAATCGGTTATTGCACATTGGGGTTCATTTGATCAATAAAGCATTTCGTTCTTGCATTGGTATAACAATTCCACAGTTTCTCACACTGTCACAGTGGTGAGATCCGTAATTATTTTTGGGTTTTATTTATAGCACCACCGACTCCAAGTTCATTTTCTGAATGTATCACGGTTTATCTTCATCCCTTCCTTTCTTTGCTCATTTGTGCACATTCTTTTAGTGGAGTAAAGTAATAGACAAAGAGCAAATGGAATTGGTCTGCACAGATCAACCATTGAATGCAATTAGACCTGTCATCCTGTCCCAACAAATACATGTTTCTTTTTTAAATGCATATTCACATGAAGCAAAATGTTGAGTTTTCGTTGCAAACTATATGTTTACGCTATGTTGCAGGGCAATTCCTCATCATTTGATTTGTTGTAGGGAATTTGAATTAGTTGAGCAAGACCACATACCTGTTCTAGACTTTTCGCTTGTCGTGCTGTTTATTATGTGGTATTCACCTTGAACTTTGGTCTTTTCAAATCTTTTCTTTTCGAAACTTCGGTCTTTTCGCTGATAAGAATTGTTTAGAAAAATTGATAAAATCGATGATAAAATGCTTCGCAACTGTTAAATTTATCCGAGTTTCGACTCAGTTCAATGCTTCTTTTAGGAAGTTTACCTTTTTTTTTTTTCAGGTACAGAGAGGATGTCGCGTTACGATATTGTATTGTATGGTGCCAGCGGCTTCACGGGAGCTTATGTTCTAAAATTGTTGGTTGAAGAACAGGAACAACAGAATGTAAGCTTTGCTATTGCAGGGCGAAGTGAAGCCCGGTTAAAGAAACTACTCGATAATACAAGTCAAGAACTGGGTGAGTCATTTCGCAGAAATTTTCTGCCCTTTCAACAACGTGTCAATAGTATCCAGTTTTTTTTTTCATCGTATAATTAAAGAAAATAATGGTTTGTGATTTGCTAAAAATTATGTCCATTTTGGATTGAAATGGCCATATTACATATGCTAGAGATAGTTCGATCCTTTAAATAAAAAGAATGAGTTAAGATAGGAGAAAGAGTGAGGGAAATTTTCTTCTTTTATATTATGAAAAATATGAAAGTCTTTGATACATGAAGTGATAAAGATCTTTAGGGAAGGATCTACAAAATATCTCCGTAATTGTTGCCAACAGTTATGATGAATCTACATTAACAGCAATGGCGAAACAAGCAAAAGTCATCGTAAATGTTGTTGGCCCTGTAAGTTGCCTATATTGACTAATAATTTTTTTCAGAATCCTTGACTTTACGAAGTGAAACTAGAAACTTCAGCGCAATCGTTTCACATACTTTGAGCTTCAACTTCCGTCATTTAACCCTTTATTTTAAGTAATAAAACTTAATGTTCCTTTATCGCAGTATCGATTGTACGGCGAAGCAGTTGTAAAGGCTGCTGTAGAAAATGGTGCTAGCTATGTGGACATTTCGGGGGAACCTGCGGTAATGATTACTGTACTTGCATTTTCTTGCAAATATTTTTTTGCATTGTTTTTTTTATATTGTTTTTTTTTCATATTTGTCTTTTGTTAAAAATATTTTCTTGTACTGTTTTATATTTGTTTGACTGTTACAAATTTTTATTGTAGTTCTTGGAATCGATGCAAATGAAATATAGTGATATTGCTCAAAAAAAAGGTTTATATGTGGTTGGTGCGTGTGGTTGGGATAGTATTCCTTGTGATTTGGGTGTTAATTTTCTGAAGGAGAAATTCAGTGGTCAGCTGAATCATGTGGAAACATTCGTGCAACTAAATTCAGGACCTGCGGTATGATGCCATGCGTTCATTCATTTCTTTCGTGTTATTTGTCTTCAAGTTATGCAAAGTTAACAATCATGTCATTAAAATTTTTCCTTCGTTTTATTATTTTTAAGGAAATTTGGTGTTTGCCTTGTTTTGCACCTCTACTTATTATTACTAACTTTTGATGATCAGTTGTTTTATAGAGCCTTCAGATATACATCTTACCATCTTACTGTTTGCATGACTGCCTGTGCTCATTAGAGTTTTTTTTCCTTGCTAAAAAAGTTACATGTTAGGGAACAGTACAGAAATCCAAACGTCTTAAAATTTGGTGTACTAATGCTACAAACACAATGTAGATACATTTTATTAACGACTTAAAGATTAAGCTTTTCAGGGTTATTCGTTCAATGCAGGCACATATCGCACTTTAGTTTTGGGCATGGCAAATGTACTGACCGACGGCTTGAGTAAAATAAGACGAAGTATCATGCCAGAACGATTGCCAAGAAGTTCGTTCCGGGCACCGAAGAGGTTTGAGAATTTACGTAATATATCAGCAATCGAAGCAATGTATTATTTGTTTGTTGATGTTCTTTTGATTGTATTCATTTTCCAGGGGAACTTTTTGGTTCAATGAGAAAATTGATGGGTGGTGTCTTCCATTTTACGGATCAGACAAAAGTGTAGTTACTCGTTCTCAATATTTTGACTACAAGTTCCGTGGTGTTTTACCAGTAAGTTGCTTTCTTTCCTTTTTTTTCTGCATTAACAATATTCTTCACGATTCTCAGAACAGAGACTTTAACTGTGATGAATTCAAAGCGCTTATTTATTTCAATGTTCAATTTTGAATGGAATCACATCCATGGAATACAGTGGTATGCAAAATATAGCATGCCAACATTTTACATAATAATAAGCAAGCTGTCATTTCTGAAATTTGCTTTTTATAGCTGCAAGGGATTCTTTTCTATACATTAGATACCGCTCATTACGTTCAGGTTTATTAGTGCACAAAATTTGTTGTCAAAACATAATTTTTTGGAAATAAGTACTGAGGAAAAATCAAAGTCCCATATAATTTTTAAAAACTGAGGCAGGGAACTGACTTTTATTTTTTTCTTTGGTGCGGTGAGTTTATCCAAAATTCATTTTGCACATTTTAGTTTCATATCATTTTGAAACACTCTGCAGAGAGAAAGAAATAGTTAGGCTTTATGTCGTAGTGATACTGGAAAACGTTGCTTATTTGTTGCAGTAGTAGTGAGCAGTTCCCTAGTGGTTGTTTTTTATTATTTATTATTGATTGTGAGCAAGAAAATCGTCCTGTGTTTTATTGAACATAAATTGAAAAAAGAAAATGTTTTGAGAGAAATGAAACAGGGTGGGTAACGATCAAATGTTTAGTTTACAATGAAAAATATCGTAATATCTGTAAGCACTTTTTAAAGAAGTGGACTTTTAATACTGTAGTTGTAAGTTATGGATTACGAAGCTGGAAGTTCCAACTTGGAATGACGTTTATCAGTTTGCTGTCACTTTAACAGTGTGTAATGTTACTGCTTACTTAGCTGGAAAAGCAGCATAGTATGGTGCAATGTTGAGTGTAATCCAAATGTAGTGTTTTTGGAATGAAAAAGAGAAATCAGTACGTGTTTGTATCTCTGAGTGCATGGCACATTTTGATTTTAAATTTCGGGAAATGGAACAGGAATGGAATGTATAAGGCGAGAGATAATTCATGTATCTGAGGGAGTTAAATTTATTCGGAAAAGAAGGGAAGAAAAAGAATTACACAAAATGAATTATAAAACAAGAGAAAAATGACAGTAAAATAGCAGGGATAAGTGGGAACGGGAAGAAAGTGTATCGTTTCACAATGTTATTATTAATAATCATATAGCTCACGCCGACCTTTATCGGTTGAAGGATGTAAATAAGGCATCGAAAATACTTTTGTATTTTCCTTTTTGCTTTGCTTAAACAAAAATAGGTTCGGGCTTGAAAAGGACAATCATTTTCTTGCTTGCTGAGATGTGTCGATTTTCATCTCACTTTTTTTTCCTTGGTGGGAAGATAAAAAATGATTTGAAGGAGAAAAGGGACGTGTATATGCATCAGTGACCTGCTATTTGATTTAAAAAAAATAAATGTCCGAAAACTCGAAAAGTATTTTTACAGTTTTAAAAGTTAGCGCCAGCATTGGATGATTGGAAAGATAAAAAGGGAATAATCATTTTATCGTTTGGCTCATATCTTTTTTTTGTACTTGAAAAATCTTTGCAATGAACGGCAAATTGGAAAGAGTGCAAATTTTGCGTGGAGGGACAAAACAAAAGAAATCCCATCTCTTTGCACTTTCTTTTCTAAAGATTTACTTCCAGAAATTTCAAAAATATTGTTCTTTCTGGGAATTTGTCTGAATTAATCTTACTTTTCTTTTTTCCGTTTAGCCTTTCCTTTTGGATATGTGAAACCATGATCATGCTATCGATTTTTAAAGTTGCATGATGAAAACATATTGATTGACTTATGCAGGTTATTATTCATGTAGATCAGTATTAAATGTGGAATTTATCCAAACATCGCACCGGGTTTACATTAATTTACACCAGTTCAAAAACAGTATTTGTCGACATGATAACACATTATCACCTCGAAAGTTGTGTCGCACACATACATGTACCATCCATGGTCAAACTATCTTCACATATATGTATATATATATATGTCCTTTTGTACTCGAGGAGTCAAAAATGCTGATGGCGCTTAATTGTTAACCTTCTGTAGAATATTTCAATTGCAAAATTGCTTGATCGCTAATTTGTCAAAAATTTTTCGACAAAACAATATGCTGCATTTCGTTGTAATACTTTTTCTTTTTTGGGGAGTCATGTTTCAGTAGTAACACGTTTCAGGTTCAAGTGGAAACATTCATTCGACTTAAATCATTTATTTGGGCTTGTCTACTTTCTCTATGGCTGGTGGTTTTTTCCGCTGCTGCCAAAATGTCGTTTATGAAAGATTTTTTGTTGGCGTATCCAGGGTTATGTAGTTTTGGCATGTTCAAGGATTCGGGACCTACTGCTGAACAGGAAAAATCAATTTCTGGACTTGATTTTTATTATTAAATTTACCATTAGCTTTGCGAGAGTTTTTCACGAATCAGTAACAAATAGTTGCTTATTATGTTATGCATATATTCTCATAGTAGTTTAGTAAATGTTCGTGAAAAAAAAAGATTATATGGGAATATATGGAAAATTATATGGAAATTTTCAGGTTAAGCAAGCATCATTTACTTATTGGTTCTTTGGTACTGGTTGGCCAGAAAAGCACAACTCCTTTGATGAGTACACGGTTAAACCAGATAAACAGGTAGTGAGATTGCATTGAATTCATTCAGCAGCGTAGAAGGGTTGATTGACTTACGCTTTTTCCGATTGGTTCTGTAGCGCCATTTTGTTTCATGTTTCTGAGCAGAAAATTATCTTTTTTTGTGACTTGATAGACTGTGATTTGATAGATCACATATGTTGAAGATAAACTTTGATTTTTCAAGTTAAAAAGTGATCATGTAATTTTCTACAGATGACAGCTCGTTGTGTGGGTCCGGACGCCGGATATATGACTACCTCAGCCTGTGTTTTAGCCGCTGCACTGTCGCTGCTCAGTGATGCCGATAAACTTCCACAAGGGTTATTTTTTTTTTTTAATCTGAAACGGATAGCCACTGTCAGGTAGATTCAAAAAGGAAACAGAATATCTCAATTTTAAAGCTACACAGCAACTTACCCAAATCAGATGTAGCCATTTGGCGCAGTAACGTAGCAGTGCTATTTTTTGAAATATGTAATGTTTTAGAAGTTTGTTGAGGGGTAAAATTTCATGTAAATTCAGACATAATGTGAACTGTTTTTGTTCTACTTATAAAATTCTTTAATTTCTCTGTATTAAGTGCGCATTACCAAGGCTTTTTTGAATTTTTGGTGTAGTCGAGTGATTGAAAGTAAAACATCTTGCAGCGGTGTATACACATCAGCGGCTGCATTCAAAAACACAGGGATCTATGGTCGTCTCGAAAGATATGGTGTTCGATTCGAAATTGTTGACGAGCTTCACTGATTTTTTTTTATGCATTTTTTCAACTTGTTTGTTATCCTAAAATCACTTATTGATCAATATTCTTTTTACGATAATAAACCGTTAAAATTGACCAACGTCATTGTTAAATGAAAGAGACGTTGTAGGTTGAGAGCAGCAATTAGACAAGCGACCATCACGAAATATACTACGAATAATTCTGCGTATCAGATGGGGATAGTCTGCTTTGAATGAACCAGTCTAAATTGTAGGTCTGAAACTTGGAATATAAAGAAAACTCTTGCATGTTCCGACACAGATACACTAAGTGTTGACTGAACATCTTGCTTAGACCTGATTATTTTCGTAGGATAACCGTGTGCACTTTGATTATCCTTAATTTGTCGAGTGCGTTATGTTGGCCGTTGGATAAGCTATTCCGTATTCTATTAATCATTTAAACCACTAGCCACAATCTAATTGCACATGAGAGAGGTGCTCTTTTTAAAGTCTTTTGGAAGCTTCATTTCATGTTTAAAACAAATTTTTGATCCGAAACGATTACTATTCGGATATCCTTTTCGGATCGCGAACTTGCAGTTCAAAACATGATCCATGATAGACGCGTGGACGTAGGGATGGGAACAAATCCTCGATAACTGAATTCAACAAGCAGGCTTGTATCCCACGTAGACACTGTGAAATGATTGGAAGATCTTGTTTGAAACCGCATTTTAGTAACCCTGAAGTGAAAATGATTCTCAAGTTTTTTAAGTAATGCGCTTGGTATTTGTGGATGAGACGGAACTGAAATTCACTTTCATTTGGAGGATTTTCGTGTCAAATTATTAGCGTTTCAAAGCCCGAGTTCTAAAATGGCTCAGTAAAACATTTCCCTTTTCAGATAAAACTCTGACTATAATTGCTTCTAGAAGTTTAATAAAGTAAAAATTTACTTACAGCTTTTAAGCTCGTCCGGATCTTTCAAACAACCCTTTTCATTAATCATTTCTACTGCCGGTGCACACTTTGTCCCTGGCACACGTGTACCGCTTACCTCTAGAATAGAACTTCGAATAATTTTGAAAAATATAAAATTTATTTCAGAACGTAGGGATGAATGATGCGTACATTTTGCTTAATGCTGGCGTTGTTTGACTGAAACAGTTTAATTGTAACCAAAATTGAAAATCAGTCGAACGAAGAAAAAGTAGGAAGGATACAAACTTTTTGGATCGAGCATGGTATCAACCTTCCCCTTAAACTGATCTCTTGGACGCGAGTCGAAAAAATTTATCTAAACTTGAAGTCGTTAAAGAAAAACAATTTTCTGTGCATCAGTTATGGAAAGGAGAAAGCTATGTCCTCAGTGCATGCCATTAACACTGCGCAATGATGATTATATGAAGATATCGCATAAACCGTCATCAACTGCCTAATGACTGTAATACATCTAACACTTAAAATCAGCTGAAAATTGTTCTCTTCACGGCAGAATAATTACTAAAATTGCTCTTCTGCTATTCGGAAATTCATTTAAAACATGAGTAACCTACCTGGTCAGTTTTGTCAAACATGCACAATCCACTGGAATCCTTCTCGATAAGCTGTTCATATGTTACAATGTAATCCGGACAGAGCCCAGCTTTCCAGTTACCTGGCTTTAAATGTGACATTTGAATTTCAACTCTCATGTAACACTGCTTTAAACAAATTTAGTAGTAGATACGTTCTATCACTTTTTCACAGTAGAAAGGAAATTGTTTTTTAGATTTAGGGGAAATCGGAATTATTTCATTACAATAAATTAAACTTACAGTGACTTCTGGTACTTCTTGAGTAATTTCACCGCCATCCATTTCCCACGCAGTTAAGCCGCCATCTATAACAGAAACAGCTCCATGACCATAGTACTGCAAAAAAAAGAAACTGAACTGGCAGAAATCACGGAGATCTCAAGTCACGAGCATACAACGGCTTTAGTAATGTGATGGATGAAGCTAAGCGACTAATAATAATTAGTAAAAATGATAATAATAAATAACAATAACAACCAATAATAACGACAGTGATAAAACCAATAATAACGACAATGATAAATAGTAAAAGTAATTAACAACAATAATATTTTATTATTATTATTATTATTATTATTATTATCATTATTGTTATTATTATTATTATTATTATTATTATTATTATTATTATTATTATTATTATTATTATTATTATTATTATTATTATTATTATTATTATTATTATTATATTATTATTATTATTATTATTATTATTATTATTATTATTATTATTATTATTATTATTATTATTA